CTTCCAGGAATGATTCCTCCTCTTCCTCCTCCTCTTTTGTAATGTTATACAACTTTTGCAATGAAATTTATTTTTAAAAACAATTCCTTGTCTAAGGACTTTATCACACCAGCCTGCTGTTCCACAACAATTACTCTATTTTAAGAATGGAACCATACCAGTTAGACAACGTTTCTTATCACACAATTTTCCCCATGATAACTCTTTGGTGATCCATGGTTGCATCTACCTTCCTCACTGCCAAACACCACTTTCATGGAGGAAAGGGGAGGAGGAATGAGCAATCACAGCTGTCAACTGCCTCCCAAAGCCAGCTAGTATGTGAATGTGCACACAGAAGACAATTTTGGGAAGGTGTTGGCAGCCAGGATTGCTCCTCCCCACTCCTGAAGTGTGGGGCTGCTGCGTGCACATTCACACAGCAGCCCTGCATTTTGGGATAAAGCAATTGTGGCTGCTATGTGAATGTGCTTCAAGAAGATGTTGGCACTGTGATTGCTGCAAGGGGGTGAGGGGGTGAGAGAAGCAGAATAATGCCCACTCACACCAAGTGACTGCCTGAAAAGTGGAACTGCAACAGAAGGGACCTATCACACAAAGGCAGTAATGAAATAACAGCAGGACTGAGGGCCTATTGGTGGGTTTTGCCCATCAGTGAAAAGATGCAGTACAGTAACACAGATGCTTTTATCTGGTTAAAATTCCACTTTTCTAGCCATGTGTGATAAAATCCTAAGAAGGCTTGCCACTGTACTTTGATTTTCAAAAGGCTCAGGGCCTATAGGAAGTTGTTCTTATCCCCTTGGTACTGAATTGGGAGGGAGGTCAAAAGTCATTTAGCTCTGGATAGAGACAGAGATGCCCTCACATACTGCTATGTGAGGTCTATGCTTCTAGTCAGTACTTACAGCACACATGTTTAATTGTTTACTGTCAAGCTTTGTGTTACAACCCTGTTTGTTCCAGCTCTTTGTGCACAGAGGGATACATCTGAAGAATCTTGAGCAGGCCTTCTGGATCTTCAGCTCTACTCAAGCAATGTATAAAATGTCATGCCATATATGGAACTAAACTCACCATGTTATGGAGGTTCATATTTCATGCCTTCTAACAATTCATATATAATTGGGACTCTTGTGGTCAAACAACATTAGATTGTGATAAGGTGGCAAAAAGTTATCAGTGGGGAAAGAAAACACAAGCTACAAGAGGCTGAGACAATAGATGTTGCCTGAGCAGACAGGGAAGAGCAAGATTTCTGCCCTTCCTTTCTTCTCCCCACTGCTGAGTTGAGTAGAAAATACACCTGTGCTTTCAACAACAATGGAAGTAAGCTGAGTATTCTTGCCAAACTGAGACAGATGGAGGGTATGACATTGCCAAAGTTTTGTGGGACCAGGTCCTTTTAGAGTTAATTTTAGAAAAGGGAGGGTAGGAACTGAGAAGGCTTTGGTTTATGCAATTACAGATATTGGAAAACTTACTTTTTTTGGATTATAGTTTCCAGATTTCCCTAGCCAGCATTCATGGAGTTATGGGATTCTGGAAACTTTGGTCCAAAAAGTAACTTGTAGCTTCCTGCAAGTGTTCAGCCCTAAATGGCACTTCCGGGGTCTCTACTGAAAAGTATCTTTCTTTCTTTGTTGCTATATAGTTTCTTTTTGTTTTTTCAAACAAACCCCCATTGATCTTGACTTTAATAACTTCAATTTTTTTTAGTGATTTATGTTTAGAGCTCTGTACCTTGTATAGATTTCCTCATGTAAGTATTTAAGTGCTGATACCATACTTGGTGAATTAATGAAATAAAAAGTTTGGTCAATAAGCGAAAACTGAATCATTTTCAACATTGTTCTTTAACTGTGGCTTGCTGTAACTGTTACCTCGGCAAAATTAGTTGGTAGGATTAAAGAATATATTCCTCTTTTATCCTATGTTTGAGTATTTGATCACAGAGGCATAGTTTAATCCAAACATCAATAGCGCCTCATCAATTCAGTCAGATGCAGCTGTCAAAGTGGACTTTTGGTTTGTTTAGAGCTTTGTATTTTATCTCTTTTTTTCTTTGATTTTTCATGCTGAAATCTCTCTTAATCTTCTAAACTTGTGAAACATCTGTTAAGATTTAATGGGTCAACTTCTATCTTAAAAAAATTTGGAGTTTGTCTTGCATATCTTTGGAGACTGAGAAGAAAAGCACTAGACTGTATTCCTTAACTGTTATAAGCTCTCCTTGGTCAGCAAGTGATTAAATGACTTAAAATGGAGAAACAGGAAGACTTCCTGCATCTTAGCACTTAGTTACAGTGTGCGATTTAAGATTCTTCTCTTTTGAAAAAGAACAATAGCAATTTGTCCTCTTTCTGTCTCTTTAACTGAGATTTAGGAGTGTTTTTGAGTATTAAGTTAAAAAGGGCATAACCAAAGGAGACTTCAACCTGCATCTTTCCATTTCTTTGTACTGCTTCTGTTGAAATTCATAGCTAATACATTTGGATGAAGAGTAACTGGCAGCTAAAAATACATACTCCTAAAAATATACAGACAGCTGTCATGTCTCCACTGAATATATTAGTCATTATCCTCATTAACCATTGCAATGTAACAACAGTTTTCATAATGTAGGCATTTTATATCAGGCAATTTGTTTAGCGTTTTTATGGGCCCTGTTCTAACCGCAGGGCTTCATCTTTCCACTGCTGCTCGGGATAAAGTATAGAAATTCCTCAATTGGAAAAGGTCTGCAAAAGTTTGCCACATGTCCTTTTTAAGCAGTATTATGCAAGCCCAATTATTGTTGCACTCTAAATTTAGCTGATACAAATCAGTTTTATCAATTTTATTTTGAGTTTCACTGATATGTTGCTGATAAATGAATACCTTATAAAAAACAGACTTGGTATTAAAGATGGTGTAGGGCAGGATGGGGAATTTTTTTCAGCCCAGGAACCAAATTCAAATTTGAGAAGATGGGGCCAAGGGAATAGAAGTAGAACCAAGGATAGACTAGGTGGGGACTTAAGCAAAATAATGGAGTGTGTTGTTAGATGTAATTCTTATTAAGTTGGACAGTTCCCCAGCAAGCATACAAAGCACAGTTCAAATCCATGCATGTTCTTATTCAGGAATAAGTCCCCCTTGAGCAGTGAGGTTTATTTATTCTGTTTATTTATATCCCACCTTCCTCTCAACACAGGGACTCAAGGCGGCTAACAAATCTAGCAAGTGCTCTATGTTTGGGTGGGTGAGTAGATTTATAATCAACAACAGTTAAGCTTTAACTATGGGCTGCTGTTTGGTGCCAGTCTTTCCCCAGGCCCCTGAGAAGCATTGGCTGAATGACCCAAGATAAATGGGGTACATGAGGGCCTGGGATTCTTAGCTGAAGTTTTCCATATAAAATATGAGAAGCATATGATGACCTGCAGAGTGATGGAGCAAGAATTACTGACATGAGGCCCAAAACGCATTGTGAGCACTTAGTGAAAGTTTTAAATAAAATGGCAAGTATTGTTATTATTTTGTGTCTTGCCACTTGAGAGAGGAATACAGGACAATGCCATTAACACTGACACACTGTCCTTAGTTCATTATGGAAGGAAGAATACATTGGGCCATAATTGCTGACATAGTGAAGGCTTGATTAGTGAACCTCTGGAAAGTCTGTAATGCTGCTTTTCATAGAGAAGCAAAGGCTGCATGAAAAGAGTGTGAGCCTGCCAATTTTTTTTTTTGTTACTTCCTTCTCTTTCTGACAAGGTTTTCAATTAGTAGCTTGTAGTAGCCCAGACATGGTCCTCTTTTCATTCAATGTACACAACTTAATTCTCTCAAAAGGGTGAAGCTGTGAAGGAAAGGACTTTAAAAAAGAGACATTTAGGCTAGGAATGATATGTGATGGGAATAAATTTGTTGAGAAGATGTGGTTTCCAGAGACTGATGTATTATATTTTCTGTATAATGAATCTCTGTGTATTCATAGCAGATAAATGCTATTTGGACCTCACTAACCCACTCAGCAGAAGATCAATGTTCTTAAGGTCACTCCTCCAACACAGAGAACTGAAATTTGTCATCAACAGCCAGTGGCCATGCTCCTTTGGGATTACAGGAGATTATCACATGGCCCAAAAGGATGGGAGCAAAGTGAGATGCTCCTATCCTTATCGTGCGATTGTGCAAAGATTATAACATGATGTCTGTTTATCCCTTCACTATCCTGTCCTTCTCCCAGCAGTGAAGTGGAATGGCCCTGTCATTTTGTATTAATGGAAACTCCCATTAATACAAAATGATGGGGCCATTCCACTTCTCTAACAGGAGAAGGATGAGATAAGCATGGCATGTGTGATAATCTTTGCGGCAATTGCGCAATAAGGATTGGAGCGATCCACTTTGTTCACATCCTTTTGAGCTGTGTGATAATTCCTGGTATTCAGAACACACCTTACCCCTTTGCATTTTAAAATTGTACCTAAACTATTCACTTCCTTCAATGTACTGTTTGTTGTTGTTGTGTTCCTTCAAGCCTTTTCCAACTTGTGGCAACATTAAAGTGAATCTATCATGGGATTTTCTTGACAAATTTCTTCAGAGGGGATTTGCCATTACTTTCCTCTCAGTCTGTGAGTGTGTAACTTGCCCAAGATCACATAGGGCGTTATCACACGGGGGAAATCCAGTAAGGAAACGGGGGTTTAAACTAAAAAAAATCCTGCAAAAGCGGGTATATTTTCAGATGACATTGCATTTAAAAGGAGGTTAATCCGAACAGAAAGTAGTCAGAAACTTCTTCTTTTTATTTTAGGGGATCTTCCGAAAATAAAAAGAAGCAGTTTCTGCCTACTTTCCGTTCGGAGTAACATCCTTTTAAATGGGCAGGAGGTTATCAGATGGGGAAAGCCGGCTAATTAATTGCTTCCGCTTTTGCAGTTGCACTTTCTCTAAAGCCGGCTTCTGTTAGGGGCTCCCTGTGTGATAACGTTCCCAGTGGGTTTATATGGCCAAGCTGGGATTTGAACCTTGGTCTCTTGAGTCTTAGTCCAGTGTTCAAACCACTACACCACACTGACTCTCAGTGTTCATGCCAACATTATGTCAACTGTACTCATTCTAACCCTTATGCATATATGATGTAGACTAGAGCTGGCTGAGGAGGAACCTCATGGTATGAAGCCTGTTAGTTATAGTAAATCATGACTGCCTTCCTGTAAAGACCAGAAAAGATTTGCTACCAACTCTTAATGTTTAGAAAAAGGACTATGAAGTGAAATATGTACTGTAAATAACACATTCCCATTTCAACTTTCAACCTTGTAGTTTAGTACTTTTGGCATGTATTCCTTTAAAACCCAAATGAACAAATCAGGCATGCCTTTATTGTGGTCACAACTTCAAGGAAATCTTTACTCCTCTATTCCATCCCCTCTCCTTTACAATCCATAGTTTCTCTTCCAGAATTAGTTGAGCTCATAAAGTAATTTGTGACTGAGCTGCTTTCTGGGTAGAGATTTGTGCCAGGTGAATAACTCTTTCCCTGGATGCTGTTATGGTATTCCAATTAATTGGAGCTCAGGGAAGTGATACAACTAAATGTGACAATATTCTTTTGTGATGTATTTGACAATGTTTTACATTGCAGTCAGCAACTAAATATCCAAGAGGTCATTAATTTCACATATAAAAGAAGAAGTATCACATTTTCCCCTGGATTCCTGAGGAAATTACTCTCATAGACAACTCTAGTCTTTGGCTGCTTTACAGAGAGACTATGTCATTGGTATGCCATTACCAGGCCATAAAACTGGAATGGGAGCTGCTTATCCTAAAATGGGTTTCCAATTTTGTCTGTGAACCTTCTGGGAGTTACTGCTCTGGGCCGGTTTGTTTAGTCTGTTCCATTAAGTGTACAGCGGACCTCATTTTTTTTTTTACCTTATATACATTTTGTTTGGTGCTCTCTGTATCTCTCTGTCTCTTTCTGTCTTGTGTGTATATGATGGGGAGAGAGCAAGAGAAGGTTTCTAGTAATCTCAGTAGAGCAGAGCTACATATTTGTTAACAAATTGTTTCTACAAACTGTCCATGATGCTAGTCAAAACAAAGAATTAAATGCATTTGGACATAATTAAATTTAAACCTTTATTTATATTTTCCCTTCCTAGCTCTTGCTTTTCTTTTCACTACCCTTGTCCTGTTTTCAGTCTCTCGTCCTTCATTTGTTAATTTTCTCAAAATCATGTTGTTTTCATTTTGTGGTTTGAAGATAATTCATTTACATCAGAACTACTAATTCAACTATCCTAAATGAATATTGTGATGGCAATTCCATGCACACTTATCGAGACTTACTTCGAAGTAAACAGTCGTAGCATATGTATATTCTGCAGGGAAGTTTATTCTCAAAGGTAGCAATCAATAATTTCAGCAATTTTCTTCTTGTGGTGAGAAAGCCTTTGAAAACTATGAAGTTCCCAAAGGCTAGTCACAAGTTGGAACCTATTCTGTACAAAATTTTGCATGTTGTTGTTTTGTGCAGAAATAGCATTTTCTGTGCAAGAAACAGTCTTTTCTACATGAAGAATTATATTACAATGCTGTAATATTAATTACCATGCAGGAAATTCTGCTTTATTTACAAAAAATTCTGTTTTCTATGCAAACCGGCCATGTGTGCATTTTAGGCTGAAAAAAATCCTAAATCACAGAATTTTCAGTGTAGAAAACATTTTTTTGCACATGAATTAATATTTCTGCATTGAAATTATATTTTCCACACAGAAAATGCTGTTTCCTGCACAGAAAAATGTTGTTTTCTTCACAAAACAACCAGCTATGAATTTTGTGTGGAATAAGTCCTGACCTGCAAAGATTCCTGTCAGTCCAGGATCCTTCTCATCAGGGCTTCCCAATAATAGAAAAACATGTCTTCTGACCTTTTTTTTTCAATATTTTCAAATATTCTTTTCATTTCTAATGTTTGATTGCATTTCTTTTCTCCCAATCTGTCTTATTACTACAATGATGACAGAATGAACATACCACCCACAAAAATACCAACAGATTTTATTCTATCTCTTTAAGAGTTATGCCAGAAGCTCCAGTTGGAACAGGCCATATGCATGAAGTAGACGTTTTGGTATTGCCTAGCACCTGCTACAATGTGTGGGTGGGCCTGCATTGGCACCTCAGGACCTAGAAGACTCTTTTGCATGTTTGCCTTGGAGTTTTACAGTGAGTTACAATATTTTTGGGGGGGAAGAGGTCTGGTCTATGCTGTTGGGAGGGAAGAGAGAGACATGGTTCCATCAAGCCTGGGCTGAGAGACAGATGAAAGGCCTTAAACTGCTACTACTCTGGTTTTGGAGGGAGAGAAGCAGAGGCAGCTACAGCATGCCTAGGCCTAGGGGAAGATTAGAGGCCACCCTTCCATTTTAACTTCTATCACCCCTGTTTTGGAGGGAGAGAAGAACCATCAGTACCTGCTGAACTTAATTCCCTCTCCCACTGACATTTTTTTCCTTGTGTGCCTTGTCTTATTTAAATTGTAAGCCTGAGGGGAGGGAACTGTCAAATTAACAATGTATAAGCCACTCTGAGAGCTTTCGTGACTGAAGAGTGGGGTGAAAATACTCTAAATAAATATACATAAAATAAACAAATTTTCATTAACAGTTTTCAAATGCACTTAGAACATTTACTATTTAAAGGACTGATTTAAATATCTCAATGAGTCGACAGTATAACTCAGAATCCAGTTAAATTAATTTATGGTCTAATTGTGATATAATGTTTGCTTTTCCTTCCTTGGTAGAACCTTTCATGGAGGAATACATTAATCTGGAATACAAGCCCCCACCTGATTTCTCTTCTGGAAAGCAAGATGTACTTGAATTACTAGGACTCTGCAGGGACTTAGGGCCTCTACAGGTGGATGGCTGTGGGCTGCCCCAAGAAGCCGCAGATTGGGACTGAGGCTGTCCCATACCTTGGCCCTGATCCACCCTTATGGCGCCTCTGAAAAGGATCGCTAAAATAGCACTCCTTTCAGAGGAGCCAAAAGGGGCACTGGAAGAGGCACCGGGCACCTCTTCCATGCTCCTTCCGGCTCAGCGTGTCCGGACGCTGAGCTGGAAGGATATCATCAGAGCGCTCGCCATGTGCAATGGCGAGCGCTCCGATGACATCCTGGAGAAAGGGTTGGAGTGCCCAGAGTTCGGCTGCCCCTCCCCTTCTCTAGCTTCAAGATGGCACTTTTCGCTGTCTGCATACCCCCATAAACTCTTATCTTGCAATTCTTTCCTACCTAAAATGTGTAGGGATTTTGCTTTTGGACACAAGTTTTTACAGGTGTTCTACAGCTATTACTCTTTGACTCTTTGACTTAGGAAAAAAAGAATCTACCACTGTTGAAGTGGACAAGCAGTGCTTTGGAACTGGAAAAGTCATTCTCAACCTTTCTGGTTCTTCAGATGTATGGGACTTCAGCTCCCATAATTTGCCTGCAGTTGCCATGTTGGACAGAATTACAAAACATTTGGAAGACAAAAAGCTGAGATTAGAGGAAGTAATCCATCTCGACCCCAGAAACAATAATTGTATCTAAGTTGTTTGATATAGAACAGGACAGAAGCTCAGTGTTTCCCCACCCTAGCAGTTCTTTGGACCTTTGGACCTCGCTCCTGCCTATCTTTCCTTTAGGGTAGTAAAGGGTATTAGTTTGTATGACTATACAAGAGTATTATACACATGTATGGAGGATAAGGCTCTCAGTGATGGCTGCTAGTAATGATTCAGGAGTCAGTTATACTCTTAACTCCTGAAGCAGATGCATTATTTGTCACAGTGCCACATGTTAAGGAACATGAGCTGGCTGGTGCATTTATTGTAATGGCTTCCAAATGGCAGTTTGTTGGTAATATGGGAACAGAATGATGTATGATACAGGTCTGGTCTTATGATGGCTTGTGTTGGACCCCACTTTCTGATTCCAAATTATTTCCATACGTTTGCTAGGTTTTTATTGATACACTGTTTGAACTTCTGCTAAAGGCCTTTTTCTTGCTGGTTTAATCCAGGACCAGCAGTTGCATTGGATGACTATGCATCCATCAACTATACCACCTCCAGCTAGGCTGAGATGAATTTAGTACGTTGCCTGCAGTTACCTAGATTCATCTCAGACTAGATGGAGGTGGTATAATTCTTTAATTTAAGGCAATTTCAGTGCAGGTAGTACTCATTCTCCCTGGAATGGAAAAAAAAGTTTTGAGTTGTACCACTACAGGCTGCAGCTTCCATGACTCTTATGTGCCTTTATTATACACAGTATAATTCTCTCCCCATAGAAAACTAGATGTCAGAGAGAAGAGTACTTGTTTAGTCTTCCTTCTAAGGAGGAATGCTCAGTTATGAGATTCCCCATCTGCAGTCTGAAGTGGTACAGTCTTACCACAAACACACTCATAGCCTTAACTGGACTCAATCTATGTAACAGTTAACAGAAGAAAAAAAATCCTGCTGTGGACTTGCCATCCACAGATTTGACCATGGTGGTGGGTGAGAGCACGGAGGCAGGCTTCAGGTGGCCAGGACAGTGCTGGCTCAGCCAGTCAGGCCAAAGGGAGGAAGGGAGGATAAGGGGTGGTAAAGTTCCATTGTCCTCAAAGGCAGTGTAGCCACATGACCGCACCACCATTGGGGACAATGGAACTTGAGCATCTGTGAATTTTGTGACTGTATAAGATTAAGAAATGTATTTTTATGAATACCACCAAGTTGACCTTAATTCATGGCTATCCTATAAGTGAGACATCTGCAAGACCCCTATCCTGACCTCCTGGTTTGAGTCTAACCATCTGTGATGTGGTCTTTCTACCTTTCTCTATTTCTCTCTTTCTCTCTTTCTACCACCCTCCACCTTTCCTAGCATTATTGTCTTTTCTAGTGAATGCCTTCTCATGAAATGTCTGAAATATGACAGCCTCAGTTTTATCATCTTGGCCTCCAAGGAGAGTTCAGGATTGATCTTTTCTAGGACCCAATGTCAAAAATGTGTTAACCCTTTAGCACT